GTGATTGGCACAGGACAGAGCGGAGTTTAGAGCTATTGTACATAGGGTCACTATGAGTCACAAGTGACTCGACGGCACATAACAATAACAACAACACATAATGTCCTGGCAAAAGAAATTTTATCTTCCACTTCTGAAGAAAAGAAATAAAGGAGAAGTCAGTAGGAGAAGTTAACTTTACAATTTTTCATATCATTCTTTAATGATATTTGCTAGGACACAATAAAGATGACTCAGACAGTGAAAGCCATGGGTGGCTGCAGGAATAGTGGGGACCTCTAGTGGCATAGTTCCAAGGCAGTTGCACTCACCCAAAGGCGGCATGTCTATGGTGGTTCAGATTCACCAATGGTGCCATAGGAGAAAGATGTGAGTCTCCTATGCAGTTTCCCGTCTCAGAAAATCAAGTTATGGGTTGGTTCCCACCCCCTGGCAATAAGTTTGAGTTTTCGAATCCAGGAGTACTTGAGAGAAGGGCCCGGTGGTTATTCTGTGATGAACTATATTAGAGAACGTTAGATTCCTCATCTATGAAACCAGACACACTTTGTCCATTTTTGTTAAATTCTCTTTCAGCCCCAAAATGAGTAAAGGCCATTCCTAAAACTTGAATTTAAGCCATGACTATACTTATTGAGACTATACTTATTGAGGTGGTGTTCTTCAGTGCCTCAGGTGGTCAAGCACTCAAATATTGATGGAAAGGTTGGTGGTTCAAACCCATCCAGCGGTACCTTGAAGAAACCTCATAAATAGCCTTTAGAGGGCATTTATACTCTGAAACCCATATAGGGTTATCCTGAGTCAAAAGTAACTTAATGGCCACTGTTTATTAGGTAGTAGTGTTTTAGGTGATGTCCTATCTCCGATGAGATTAACATGTAAATGTTGTGTACAATCATTAAACCAAATCAGAACTGACTCATAGCTGATCCTACAGATGGTTTTCAGAGGCAGTAAACTGCATGGGAGGAGATTGCCTATCCTTCTCCAAATAAGTAGCTGGTAGATTTGAATCTTATGCAACGACACCTGTATACAAAACCGATTATTTTTCTCATTTAATTTTAAACTTTTGTGTCACCTTGGTTTCTTCCCCCTCAGCCCCCATTTCACTTACATAAGATGACTAGTCAGCTCCCATAGTGACATTTTGCCTGGCTTAATTGAAAATATTCATTAAAAGTATCTCCAGGAGAAAAAAAAAGTATCTCTAGTAAACAGTAAAATAACTCTAAGGCAAAGAAGAAAAGCAATAAATGGGGTGCTCATGAAGTCGTCTTTGGTATAGATAAGAGGCTGTGAGTTTGATTGGGCCATAGGGAGGAAAGGTCCAGAAAAGGAGGGAATGCTGATAAGTGGTAATTACCTCACACCAAATTAGCTTTGGTTTCTCAACTGTAATCACCTAGTGTTCAAAATGCATTGTGTCTAGAGAAATTGTCCAGTGTTCAGAGACATTACCTCATTGGACTCTTGCAAAAATTCCTGTGTTTTAGAATTTTAAAGTGTGTGAAAGAAACTACCCAAATTTCACGGAATCTCTCTGTATGTGGATGGTTAATTGCTAAGACTAAGTGCACATTAAGTATAAAGATTCCAGGTGAAGTGAGAGGCTGAAGGGAAGCATATTGTTTCAATTAGGATATAACTAAAACCCAAAAGACATGTGTCAGATGAAGGGCAACTTCTCTCCTCTTCAAAATCTTTTTTTTTTCCCTTTCCCACAGCTCCAAAGCCCTCGCCCTCTGGAACAGTGCAGTTATTTGAAACTTAACTAAAGCTGGAGGCAAGTTATACTTTTCAGGTCGTCCAATTTAGGAGATCCAATTTCTGCAGAGCAAAAAACACGATGGGTGGGGGAGGCAAAAGCAAAACACAAAAAGCCAGACTCCTCGTCTTCCGATCTTTCCACCTTCAAGTGCACAACCTGCCACGCAATTCCAGCCAAGTCAGGGATTTTGCCTTCAACCACCACCACCACCACCACCTTGTCACTCACGCCCGAGAAACACGCCCCTCCGGTCTTACTCTCGGCCAATGGCGGGTCCCCTCGATGCATAGTAATGAGCTCGAGACCTCCCCGGGCCAATGGCGCTCCGGGAGAAGGGTTAGTTTTGCATGTACCTAAGTGATTTGCATAACCCAGCGGCCGGGGGCTTGGGAAACGGAGCGTGCAACCCTAGAAGGGAAAAGGACGGGAAGAGCTTGAGCGGCGGCGGGGCGAGAGCGAGCGAGAGCCTGGGTGTTTGTACGATCGCCGGGCGGGGGCTGGAACGAGGGGCCGGCATGGCTGAAGGCTGCGCTCGGCAACCTTGAAGAGCGGCTGCCGCGCGAGGCCGAGGAGACCTAGGCGTGTGCGATGGCAGAGCGTGGCCCCGGAGGCTGCGCCCAGCCAGGCCGACTGGCCTGAGCCGCCGGAGGAACGAGGCTGCCTCTGCGCTTCCATGGGGCAGCGGCAAAGGCGAAACTCCGGAGCACCGCGTCCCTGCGCAGCTGCCGCCGCC